ATGACGACACCGAGCCGGACGAGAGATTGAAGAGAGATGGAGAGATAGAGGCGGAAGAGAAAGATAAGGAAAGAGAAGAAGAGAAAGAGAGGCGTAAAGAGAGCGGAGTGACGAGCGACGAGTGAGGAGAGAGAGAGAAAATGACGGAAGCGATGAGCACGAAGGAGAGAGGATCAGCGTTCTGGCTGACGGAGGCAGAGAGCCGAGAAGAGAGAGAGCAGAGAGAGAGGGAGAGAGAGGAGGAGGAGAAGAGAGAAGAGAGAGAGAGATGAGAGAGAAAACTGAGAAAGGCCGAGGAGCAGAGAGCCTGAATGCTGAGAGAGAGGAGAGAGAGAGAGAGAGAGAAAGATCGCAACGAGAGAGAGAGAGCAGAGAGAGAGAAAGAGAACAAAGACGAGAGAGACAGAGAGGAGAGAGAAAGCAGAGAGAAGAGAGACGAGAGAGAGCAGAAGAAGAGACGAGAAAGAGAGAGAGAAGAGCGAGCAGAGAGAGAGAGACGAGAAAGAAAGAGAGAGAGAGAGAGAGATGAGAGAGACGAGAGCCAGAGGAACAGGAGAGAGAGAGACGAGAGAGAAAGGCCGTGTGCACCATAACTACCCACATTTTCTCATCATCGTCTCTTACAACACTAAATTTGTTGTTGTCTAGGTACGACTTGTGCCTTGGCGCTACACAGCGATGCTGAGAGCAATCACTGGAATAAAAGCTGTGCACCACTGTGGAAAAAGAATTCACGCAGTGGCAGTAGACTTACGCTCCGGTGAAAAGCTTCTTAACTAATTATTATAATTGGCCGCGATTTTCCACAGTTGCGTAAATTCGGTCACAGAAAACAAACAACACCGTATGTCTATTACTTTGTCTAAAGACCGCCCCACACAGCCGATTTTTACAAACGATGAAGCGATGAAGCGATCGGACAGCGACTGAAGCGATGAAGCGATGAGCGCATGGTAGGTGTGCGGTGCGCACACCTACGATAATTTCTTCAATATTTATCGCAACCACGATTTTCCTGAGGGTCACGCGCACACACAAAATCGCGTCCAAATAATCGCATTCAAAATCAAACATGTTTGATTACTCTGCGCGAACATCCACCGATAAAAAATAAATCGTCTACAACATGAACGCGCACACCTTACATCGTTTCATCGCTTCATCGCTTCATCGCTTCATCGTTTGTAAAAATCGGCTGGTGTGCGGTGGCCTTAATCAAATGCTAAAGAGGACGTCTCGAGCCATCTATGTAATTTAAAGAATCATTTCGTGGTTTCGCATTTATAGCCAATCAACTAAATGCGTTTCGCCAAGCAATTCGTTGGCCTATTTGTGTGACGTATTTGAATAATGGCTGAATGATGTTTACATATCACATGTGTAAGTTATAACAATATATATACGTTAGATAGGCAAAATAATTGTTCGCCCGCCTACCACAGTGCGGATAAAGTGTTATGTAAGCGTAAAAGGTTCTTTATCATGATATGATTACACGGCCACGCGCAGTAATCTCAACTCGAAAACACCTATCAGTACCTGCAGCAACTGAGGGCAGTGCTTTACTATAGCAACAGTTAGTATTGATCAATATAAGCCGTGACGTGACAGAGGAATACGTGACAGCCGATCTACATCGAAATTGCTCCCCCGTGATGCATTGACGCGCCCTGTGCTACTCTTGAAGGACAGAAGTACGGATATATATATATGACCCTGTCACACCAACGTATATATTTTATATTAGTATATAACGTATAAATATTAGATATGCCCTCGTCATTGCCCCACACAAAGATGACCAGGGTCCCTCTAACCAAGGGCAGGGGGCACAGCATGCCAAGTTGTAAGTGCTAATGGGAACACCTTACCTATCCATGTTTATGATAATCTATTTTCCTCGGATATTTTCTTAGCTGCAAAAAAACAGGTAATCTAAGTGCATCGGTGGCTTAATGGAGTATTCAAAATAGCCAGACAAAATGGCGGCTGCCCATGAGAGAACACAAAATGTATTATCAGTCATACAAACAATAATTAAGGATTTTAACGCCCATTATAGACAAGGGCAGCCGCATTTACAATAGTTTAGAAATAATCGTAATGTATATACATATAATGCTACAACATAGAATATTGGGCTTATACACGCGCTACTTCTTAGACCTGTTTCGGGCTGTTATTATATGGTATAGTAAGATATACAAAAAAAGATACGCCAAAACAAATTGCATTCAGTGTCATAGTGGTTAGTGGAAGAAATACAACTCACGCGTGAATCCAAATAATCAAAACATCTTGAAGTGAGAAACTCTTGAAAAACATTCGGGGTTATTGATTTCGATTGCCAATGCGCATGCGTAATAAAATATACTATTATTCCACGCATAGGTCTATGTATCTTATGCGATGTTCTAAATTTCTTGATTTTTCGATAATCCAACCTCACACTAGAAAAACGTCCCAAAAGATGCGGCCCTTCTGTCTAATTAACATCGGACTCTCGAGCATGGACCTTTTCGCAGTCGCTCTGTGAGCATCGCGACCTGTGAATATTCGAATTACGTGCGGGATTGCAACTTGCTCAACGAAAATAGTCGCAACCCGCGCTGGAGCTACAACCGCAGCTAATAATATACCTCTTTGTAATGGCAACCAGGTGAAATATATAACGTACGTACATGCATTGCGTGTATGTGCCTGTGTGCGAGCGTGCGTATATGTACGTATACGTGTATGCGTGCGTGCATGCGTGCGTGTACGTGCCTGTGTGCGAGCGTGCGTATATGTACGTATACGTGTATGCGTGCGTGCATGCGTGCGTGTACGTGCCTGTGTGCGAGTGTGCGTATGTACGTATACGTGTATGCGTTCGTGTACGTGCATGTGTGCGAGCGTGCGTATATACGCGTACGTGTATGCGTGCGTGCATGCGTGCTTGTGTGTGTATAATCAGTAGGTATATATTGTTTTATGAAACGCCGTGAATCACGTGTAGCAATTAATTACACGGCAAGCTATCTCTAGTCTCTGATTCTCTAGTCACTATTATGATCTATCTCTGATTCGACAGACTTTATCGAGCCTACGCGAAGGCTTATAATTAAATCAAATCGTATCCAAAAGTGACCTGCTAGTGAACGTCGTTCTAGAGCTTATGTATGCCAGAACTGACTTTGATGATGAAGTCAGATTCGAGAGCGAAAGACTTTCTTGTTTGTTAGGTATAGAAGCAAGGGCCTCAGGGCGACTCGTTGATCATATTTGAATCTAGGTTTAAAGAGTGGTATAGCTCTCCTGGTAAGGGTATCGACAAAGGTGAATACGTATGTGACTTACCATGTTGTAACGTGATTGAGTGCGTATAAAATTATATCCAACAGGGCTATACAATATTGTCATTTTGTTGTTCATAACGTGTTAAGTATTGCTTTTTGCTGGTAGGATAAATAGCAGAATCGCATAGCTATATGATACAGCTCTCTCCCTTGCTCTCTCCCTCGCTCTCTCTCTCTCTCTCTCTCTCTCTCTCTCTCTCTCTCTCTCTCTCTCTCTCTCTCTCTCTC